TCCGGCCTGTCCTTAGCAGCCCGGCCCTCTCTCTCTCCCTTGCCTCCTGCCACTGTCAAGATGTGTCTTCCTGTCTACATCGAATCCTTTCCTTTGGTTCTTTGTTGAAACTCCTCTAAGCTTCTATCAATTCTCCCTCTATGCTGGAATCCTCTTCTGATCTGCAGCCAGCCTGCGTTAGTCCTTCCTTTCCAGAGCTCCATGTTCGAGGAATCAAGAATGGCATGGGGCAGAGCTGGAGGGTGGGGGGTCGAACAGGACAAAAGGCATGTTCAGGCTTACGTTAACAGACCACTGTGCATCATAGATTTTTCAAGGGGTTCAATCTAAGGTGGTAGGAAGGGGCTTTTGGAGTGATGTTGGCTAATTAATAAAACCTTTGTGGTTAAGCTAAACCTCCATTTAACAACTATTATTTTAGTGTAAAATCATGTTCTGTTAGGACTTTCTGGGATGTCAGACTGTCTTGTCAAGACAGGAAAAGTCTGGGATGTATAGCTGGATAAACTAATACAAAGATTATAATGATCTGGGCTCACATGTGAACAGTTCACCAGGTCCCAGTTCACAGGCATGAAACTTCCTACTCACTGTAAGGTGGAACAGGACGCTGGCCTATAAAGAATGGTCTCGTGCTAGTGCTGCCCTCAGAAAACTCTAGAGAGTTGAGCCCAGCTGCAGAATCATCCAGCACTTGGATTCCCTGGAAATGGGCTGTTGGGAGAAACGTCCTTGCTTAGGAACAAAGCTAGCTGGTCTCGTTCCTGTCTTTTGCCTCTTCGTGTGGTCTCCTCTTCATTTTCGCAACCCTAGGAAAATTGATGGGTGCTTTGGAGCAGGGCAGTCAGCCATTTTGCCAGCACCTTTCTCCCTATCTTCCTTGCACATATTCATGGACAAATAGTTTGGAAATAGGCACTTGAGAAGCTAAACTGGAAATTCTGCCACCTGTAATACAAGCCAAGGAATGAAATCTTATGGATGGAGCCAAATGGGTCCAATTCTGAGGATTCCTGTGTCACTTCTCCTCCTCACCGATGTCTCCTCATCCTGAGAGTCATCACCAAGTTCTTGGGCCTGTACTTAAAGCTCTTCCTTTAAAGATGTGCTGTTCTAGGCTGGACGCCGTGGCTTACACCTATAATCCCAGCAGTTTGGAAGGCTAAGGCAGGTGGATCACCTGAGGTCAGGAGTTTGAGACCAGCCTGGCCAACATGGTGAAACCCCATCTCTACTAAAAATACAAAATTAGCCAGGCATGGTGGTGCATGCCTGCAATTCCAGCTACTTGGGAGGCTGAGGCAGAAGAATCACTTGAACTCGGGAGGCAGAGGTTGCAGTGAGCCCAGATCATGCTATTGCACTCAAGCCCGGACAAAAAAAGTGAAACTCCACTCAAAAAAAAGAAAAAAGATGTGGTGTTCTTCTTGGTGTGGTGGCTCATGCCTGTAATCCAGCACTTTGGGAGGCTGAGGTGGGTGGATCACCTGAGGTCAGGAGTTAAGAGACCAGCCTGGCCAATGTGGTGAAACCCCATTTCTACTAAAAATACAATAACTAGCCGGGCGTGACAGTGGGCGCCTTTAATCCCAGTTACTCGGGAGGCCACGACAGGAGAATTGCTTGAGCCCAGGAGGCAGAGACTGCAGTGAGCCGAGATTGCACCACTACACTCCAGCCTGGGTGACAAAGCGAGACTCCATCGCAAAGAAAAAAAGTGTCCTTCCCGCTCATTTGACATGAATACCTCAACCAGGGAACAGCTTTCAGTAATGACCTTGGTTGCCAAGAATCCTCTGACTCCTCTTGGGCTGGCTGGCAGGTATGGCTTGTTTTCTACCTTTGTGGGGGCAGTGGGCTTGAGTCCTAAATGGGGGAGGGAGAAGGTGGAGCCACAGATACAGGGGCTTCTACTGGTCACACGAAGGGCCAGCTGTCCCTGTCCATATTCATGCCAGCCACGGTACTGAGAGTGACAGTAGGGGGAACAGCTGGACAGCTCCATGCCATAAAACTTCAAAAGTCAAGTCAGCGTCACGGAAATTGGGAATGATGAGAAAAGGAGTGAGGACATCAGTGAAGAACACATTTTACATAGTACAGGGGCCACTCTGGAATCCCATCAGTTCACCAGCATCTGCCCCTGCTGTGCTATGAACTGTCATCCCAAAAGCCTACCTGGCTACCTCCAGCAGCCAAGCGTTAGCTCTTTATTCCTCAGATCACATGGATGTTAGCAGTCATCTCTGGTAGGCTCCCCAGGTCTATGAACGTAAGCTTATAAATGGAGCCGCACTTCTCTCATCCAACCTTTGCACACCACGTTGGTGGGAGCGCCAGGCCCAGCACCACCCACCCCAGTCCGAGGCGGATCCTGCCCTTCTGACTTCCTAGAATACAGGCATAGCCCATTGCCGAACTTCGCTTTATTGCACTTCAAGATACTGCATTTTTTACAAATTGAACATCTGTGACAACCTTGTATCAAATAAGTCTATTGGCATTTCTCCACCAAAGTGCTCACTTGGTATCTCTGTGTCCTATTTTGGTAATTCTTGCTATACTTTTCATGATTATATTATTTTATGGTGATCTGTGATCCGTGATCTCTGATATCACTTGTGTAATTAGGCACCACAAACCATGCCTGTGTGGCAAAAAACCTGTAAAAGCTGTGTTCTGACTGCTTCACTGACCTGCCATTTCCCATCTCTTTCCCTTTCCTCTGGCCTTCCTATTCTCTAAGAAACAATATTGAAACAGTCCACTTAATATCCTTGTAATGGCCTCTAAGGGTTCAAGTGAAAGGAAAGGTTACCCATCTTTCGTTTTAAATCTAAAGCAAGAAATGATTAAGCACAGCGAGGAAAGCATATTGATAGTAACGACAGCCTGAAAGCTGGGCCTTCTGTGCCAAACAGCCAAGTGAATACAAAGGAAACGTTCTTGATGGAAATTAAAAGTGCTATTCCAGTGAACACACGAATAGTAAGAACGTGAAACACCCTTACTCCTGACAGGGAGACAGTCTGAGTGGTCTGGCTAGAAGATGAAACCAGTCACAAGATTCCCTTCAGCCAAAGCCTAGTCCAGAGCAAGGCCCTAACTCTCTTCAATTTTATAAAGGCTGAGAGAGGTGAGGAAGCTGCAGAAGAAAAACTGGAAGCTAGCAATGGTTGGTTCATGAGACTTAAGGACAGAAGCTGTCTCTGCAATTTACAAGTGCAAGGTGAGGCAGCGGGAGGAGCTGTTGGGAAGCGGCAGCAAGTTATCCCAAAGACCCAGCTAAGACCATTGATGAAAGTGGCTACAGCAAACAACCTTCTGTAAGACGTCATCTAGGGCTTTCACAGAAAGCAGAAAAGTCAATGTCTGGCTTCAGAGCTTCAAAAGGAGGCTGACTCTTAGGGGTAATGCAACTGGTAACTTTGTTGAAGTCAATGCTCATTTACCATTCTAAAAATCCTAGGGCCCTTAAGAATGATGCTAAATCTACTCAAACAAAGCCTAGGTGACAGAGTGAGACTTCAAAAAAAACCTCACCACCATTTCGTAAGGCTATAGCTGCCACAGCGAATGATTTTTCTGATGGATCTGGCCAAAGTCAAGGTAAGCTGAAAAGCTGGAAAGGATTCACCGTTCTCCAGTCATCAGGGATGTCTGTGACTCATGGAAGTAAAACATCCCAACATTAACAGGAGTTTGGAAGAAGTTGGTTCCACCCCTCAGAGATGATATTGAGGGGTTCCAGACTGCAGGGGAGGAAGCAACTGCAGGTGTGGTGAAAACAGCAAGAGGACTATTAGTGGAGCCTGAGAGGTGACTGAACTGTGCGATCTCATGATCAAACTTTAACAGATGGGGGGATGTTGCTTCTTATGGATGAGCAAACAAAGTAGTTTCTTGAGATGAAGATGCTGTGAACACCGTGAAGGACAAGAAGAGTTTTAGTATATTACAGAAACTTAGTTGATTAAGCAGCAACAGGGTTTCAGAGCACTGACTCCAATTCTGGAAGCAGCTCTACTGGGGATAAAGTGCTATATCAAACAGCATCCCACGCTACGGAGGAATATTTTGTGAAAGAGTCAATCAATGTGGCAAACTTCATTGTCTTAAAGTGAAACTGCCACAGCCACCCTACCTTCAGCAACCACCCTCCTCCTCAGTCAGCAGCATCAACATGGAGGCCAGACTCTTCACCAGCCAAAAGATCATGCCTTGGCTAAGGCTCGGATGATAGTTGCCATTTTTAGCAATCAAGTATTTTTGATCAAGATACGTACACTGATTGCACTCTCAATGGACTACAGTGTAAACATTACTCATAGGCAGTGGGACACTAAAACATGTGTATGACTCATTTTATTGCCAAGTTTGCTTTCCCGAGGTGGTCTGGAACTGAACCTGCAACGTCCCCGACTTCCCGTGGAGGCAGAAGTACTTCTTCCCAGAACTGTCAGGCACCTTATCTTCCCCCTCTCCTCCACGTAGAAAGCAGCTTTGCCCGGCCAGGCTTGAAGTTCCATAAGGACGGACTGGTCTCCCCTAGCTCGACATGCAGTCATCCAGCCCTCTAGCTCTGCTGTTCTCAAACTTCGGTGTGCACAGCAATCACCTGGAGGCCTTGCTGAAAAGGTTGCTGGGCCTCAAACCCCCAGGATTTCTGATTCAAGGTGGACCCCAAGAATCTACATTTCTAACAGGTTCCCAGGTGGTAACTGATGCTACTGGTCTGGGCACTACACTTGGACCACTGATGTTGTTTAGCTTCTCCCAAAGACTTTCCTGGTCAAAACCAGCTTCCTCAGAGTAGCTGTGCAGATCCTGGCCATCTCCGCCACCCGCCTCCCCAGGTCCCTCAGAGTTGGACTCAGCTGGCACCTGGGATGAGGCAGTACTTAGTAAAATGAAACACCAAGACACCAGGATCTTGTTAGCTGGATATATTTCTTTTTTTTTCTCTTTTTTTTTTTTTTTTTTTTTTTTTTTTTTTTTGTCACAGAACACTGTTTGCAGTAGAGGAAACTGGCATTGCAGTCTGGTGGTAAAATGGCTTGTTCACATAAACCAGTACATGTTCATCCTTTAGCGCAAAAAGCCCTAATGGCGCGTACCCTATTAAAACTCAGGACACCTCCAATATTCTCTCTCTGTTTTTCTTTGTCATTTTTTTTTTTAAATAAACATTTTCAAGGTTTGTCCAAAAGAAGGCCATCTAGGTTCTCGGCTAGCGGAAGACAATTCAGAGCAGCTGTTGCACACTTGGCCTGTCACCTTCTCCAGGCTGGCAGTTGATTTCTTATTTTTTTTCCAACTCATTTTTATTAAAAAAATAAAAAAATGCTCCAACTATCAGTTTTACAAAATCTCTAAGGGAAACACAAGAGCAAGGTGCTGAGGTAAAAAACACCTGAGGTAGCTTTTTCTGTGTGTTTTTCTCGTTAAAAAAATCCGTAAATTTAACGCCCTGGGCCAACAACCTTGTGTAAATTTCTACTTTTCCTCCACATCTTTTTTTTAAAGAAAGAAATCATTTTGCTAAATATTGATGGCTTATATACCAAAATGCAAAAAGACAAAATACATTCTTTCGTTGTGGAACTTTTTCTTTGTTTGGTTGATGGGTTGGTTTGATGGGTTCCTGTTTTCCTCTTCCAAAACGCTAAGACAAGTACCACTGACTCTGTTCTTTTGAGTAACCAAGTGTTAAGATGAGGCTGGTTTGTGTGTTTCGCTTTTGTTCCTTTTGTGTGATGTGATACTCAGAGCACTGCTTTGCCTGGTGGGGGGAGGTGCATACAGGATTGAGATGGAGGGATGAGGGAATTCAAAAGAATGAGATGGATAAGAAGGGGCGGGAGGGAAGGGAGAGATAAACAGAGAGAGACAGAGAATTACATAGCAGTATGCAAAAAACCAGTTTAAAACCTGTGAAGCAAAGAGAAATGGATGTATGAGCTAGACAGGGATGAGGAGTGACAGAGTTTCCTCTTCAAGGAGACGGTATCCCTTCTGTTGACATACACAGGTGATCCAGAACTGCGGTGAGTGTCCTTCCGACCAGATTTCCCTCTGGGTGAATTTTGTGTAGGTGGCCTCGAAGCTCCTCTCTACACCGTGAGACCTCCCAAAGAAAGACTTTATTCTTTAAAGTCTAGAAAAGCCTGCTTTCTCTTTAAAAAGGAAAAAAAAAAATTAATAATTGATTAAAAATTGGAGTTAGTTGAGTTATTTGATATATTATTTCTAAAATATATTACCGCGGCAGGCACCCCATGTAACCCACGAGCCACGTATCTTAACATCTTCCCCTTCTAATATGTACACACATGTACAGAGACGATTTGCCACAAAAAAGGGTGTGCATTTTGCTTGGCTTTGAACATGTTCACCTATGTTAGTTCAACTAAAAGGGATAGCGTCGTGGGAGTGAAGGAGAGATCCGAGTGGATGGTGAAGTGGATGGCTGAACCTGCAGAAGCCCTGGGGGCAGGAGATGGGGCCGGTGGTTCTGCCAGCCTGGCTGACCTTCCCCACCCCTCCTCAGCCCCTGGGATTCTCGGGGCCTCTGCAGAGTCCCGGCCACCTCTGCAGACTTCTCGCTCCTCAGATGGTCTTTGGTTTGCTCCCGATCTGGCTGGCTGTGTTTGGTCTCATTCTGTCAGGTGTTGGAAGGGCTACATTCATCCGTTGTTATGCTGGTGCCTGTGGGAGCCTCACTTGCTGCGCTGTGAGGCGACTCCCTGAGGGTATTTCTGCTCCTGGTGCTTCACCTGTTGTACAATTTCCCTGATCTTGCGCTGTGCAGTCTGCAGCAAGGGAGAGAAGGGAGTGGAGAGGACAGGGAAAAAAGGAACCCAGTTCTGAGGACAAACAGCAGGGGAGGCTCTGGGGCTTGGGGAAGAAGGGTAGTATGCTCAGCCAAGCATCAGCTACCTCTGCCCCTATTCTGCCTGGAAGTAAGTGGCAGAGGTCCCCCCAAACTCCCTCCCCAAGGCCCAGGGTAAAGGGATGGAACTCTGGCAGCTTCCAGTTCACTGCTGCACAGACAGGCCAGGAAACAGAAGCAAGGAGCCAGCCACAGGGGGCTGTGCAGAGTCAGACGCTACACCTGGGCTCCCCTGCTGCTCCTGCCCTGCCCTGTTCTAGAGAGGCTCAGAGGGCAGCAGTGTGATGGGCAGTGGGTAGGGAGGAACTGAGCCCAGATGCTCTACCCTCAACAGCTGGAGCACACACATGAACCTGTCTCCTCTCCTCACCCAGCCCAGCACTGTCCCTGTGGGTGCTCCCTGCAAACTCCACTCCTGTAGGAAGCAGACACATTTCTAGGACATGAGGAGCTGAGCTGGGAGACAGCAGAGAGGGGCCTGGCCAGGACTCTGACTGCACAAGACCGCAGTGAGAATTTCGAAGGGCACTGGGTATGTGTGTGGGGATGGCGGGGTGGGGGTTGGGGTTTCCAGAGTGTGACAGGTGCCCTTTCCCGGACCATCAAGTCTCTTGGCACAGGCACAGGCATTGGGAGGGCAGGCTGATAGCTTAGACAAACCTTCATCGTCTGCTTATGCCAAGTACACTGTTTGTCTTCACTGGCTTAGAACAAAGACCAGGAATGCCCTCTCCCAAAACTCAATTTACAAAAGCATCAAAGAGAAAGAGGCCAAATGACGCTGAGGCACTGGCCTTTCCCAGCAAAAGAGAAGCAGCCGTGTGGAGGTGCAGCATTTTCATAGGGTGGGTTGTGGTGAGACGGGAGGAGGAAGAGGAGAGAGAAATGAGAAACGAGGCTTGCTCACCATGCATGTCACCTTTCACAGTGAGCACTCAGGCTTTGGGGGAGGAATCCGGAGGGCAGGCTTGCCTGGCTCCCAGCGGGGAGGCTGAGGACGGTCAGGCCATGCCCTTGAGAGTTGCAGGGAGCTTGGAACTGGCTTGGAACCTGCTTGGCTTTGCCTAAGGGCTTAACTCTATGCTCTTCCTCAAGCACCTAGCACACCTCAGGGATGACAGTGGAGAGAAGTGTGAACAATGTCCCCTGCTCTGGGGGCCGTCCCTGAAGAGCCAGGAAGAACCAGGGAGAGGTTCCATGTTGGGGGGGATTGGTGCTCAGGGCCTGTGGCCACCTGATAGGCCACCAGTAGCTTAGCAGAGAACTGAAGAGAGACTTGCAGGAGAGACGGGGCCCTCAGCACAGTACCTGGCTAGCAAAGAAGTGCCCGATAATTCTGACGATCACTTCCTCGTTTTCATCTGGCGTTTGGTCACGAGGCACGATGACTTCCGCACTGGTTAAGTTCTGCAATTCATTCACCTATGAAGGGAGAAAAGGCCACGGGGTGGAGAGGTTCCCTCCCCATCAGTGAGGTGGGCTCAGAAGGGAGTGGAAGGGGTGGAGGCTGGACTCTGCTCTCCTTTCCTTTTATCTAGGACACCCCTGGGGGCTTCCCTGACCCTGGGAACATGGGGCCATGTTGGTTGGGCCCTGAGAGGCTCAATGACAGGGAGAGGGAGTTCAGCCACGAACCCCTGGGCTGCTTCTGAGGCTGAATTCTCTCTTTTATTTTTTGAAACAGAGTCTCGCTCTTTTGCCCAGGCTGGAGTGCAGTGGCACAATCTCCACTCACTGCAACCTCCTCCTCCCAGGTTCAAGCAATTCTCCTGCCTCAGCCTCCTGAGTAGCTGGGACTACAGGCACCTGCCACCACGCCTGGCTAACTTTTGTATTTTTAGGAGAGTGGAGTTTCACCATATTGGCCAGACGCATCTCAAACTCCTGACCTTGTGATCTGCCCACTTCAGCCTCCCGAAGTGCTGGGATTACAAGCATGAGCCACTGTGCCCAGCTGAATTCTCTTATTCTGGAGTTCCCATCAATGCAGCCTGTACATGCTCACAGAGACCCAGGCTTTCTAATAACCCCTCACTCCCCACCCCAGCCTGTAAGACCATTCCTCCTGGACATGCTCTCCTGGGCGCTGACCATGAGCCCAAACCTCCTCTTGGTTAACTTTCCCTGCAAATCTGCCCTGCTGTTCCCTCCTCGTTTTCACTCCTGCCGCCAAGTCTTGCTCATGATGTTCCTACCCTTGGATTGCTGTCCTCGCTCCCTGCCACTGGATCCCATCCCAGGCCACCCCCATGAAGCCTCCAGCCCATGCTGAGCTCCTCATGTCTCCAACCCTGGCCTACATTGTTTTTCCTCCCTGCTGCCTCACTGGACCTGCTTCCCAACAGGAACGTACACTTCCCACGGGCTCAGACCCCATCTTCTGGCCTCTGGTATGAGGCCCAGCTCAGAGGCAGGTTCAGCATGTGCTTTAGGAGAAACCTGACAGTCTGGAGGATGCAGATAATTCAGTGACTGGTTCTGAAATAGCCAAACGGGACACCGAGGGGCTCAGGATTCCACTCCCTGCCGATCCATCTGCTTTCTTTTGCCTCCTACATTCCCACTCTGCCTAAAGCGCAGCGTGTGCCCTGGGAGGCTGACTAAATTCTGCAGACAGGGAATCATCTGATTCCACACCGTTTATTCTTTGGCATAAAGCTGACTCATTATATCTAGAACTTGGTTTTGAATTCTGTTTAACGGTTTCTATATAAAGAGCTTTACAGCTGAGCATGGTGGCTCATGCCTGTAATTCCAGCACTTTGGGAGGCTGAAGAGGATCACCTGAGGTCGGGAGCTTGAGACCATCCTGAAAAACATGGTAAAACCCTGTCTCTACTAAAAATACAAAAAATTAGCCAGGCATGGTGGCGGGTGCCTGTGGTCCCACCTACTTGGGAGGCTGAGGCAGGAGAATCACTTGAATCCCAGAGGTGGAAGCTGCAGTGAGCAGAGATCATGCCACTACACTCCAGCCTGGGTGACAAGAGCGAAACTCTGTTTCAAAAAGAAAAAAAACATTTTACAAAAACAGCAAATCACACACACTCACACACACACATACACACTCAGTACTGGACAGAGCTCCCAGGTTCCTGCTACCCTGCGTTTGTTACTGCCACCTTCCAGTAGAAAATGTAGGTGATCTTTTTTTTTTTTTTTTTTTTTTAAAAAAAGATGTCCTTCTTGCTCACCATGCCACTGCTAAACTAGCTCCCCTATAGCCACATTTGGGAAACAGCCAGAAGACGGAGCCTGCAGGAGGGAGAGTCAGGGACTGGAGGCGTCCGTCAGGAGGGCCGGGCATCGGGAGAGAGTGCAGGGCGTGGGTCTGAGTGAAATTCAGGAAAGGCAGTGGTCTGCCAAGTGGGGTAGCTGCCAAGTGGGTAGCACATCTCTCAGTGGGACTCCGTTTTTTTTTTTTTGAGATGGAGTCTTGCTGTGTCACCCAGGCTGGAGTGCAGTGGCATGATCTCAGCTCACTGCAACCTCCACCTCCCAGGTTCAAGCAATCCTCCTGCCTCAGCCTCTGGAGTAGCTGGGATTACAGGCGCCTGCCACCAAGCCCAGCTAATTTTTTTTTTTAAGTAGAGATGGGGTTTCACCATATTGGCCAGGTCTCAAATTCCTGACCTTGTGATCTGCCCGCCTTGGCCTCCCCAAAGTGCTGGAATTACAGGTGTGAACCACTGCACCAGGCCCCCATTTTTCCGTTTTTTTTTTTTTTTTTTTTTTCTTAAGAGACAGGGTTTCTCCATGTTAGTCAGGCTGGTCTCAGGTGTTTCCCGATCTCAGGTGTTTCACCCACCTCGGCCTCCCAAAGTACTGGAATTACAGGCATCAGCCACTGCACCCAGCCTTCATTTTTCCTATTTTAATGGCTGCTCTGTGTGGGTCTAAAGGGGAATAGACCTTCATTTACCATGGCGGTATTACTGGGTACAGGAACGTGGTGCTTTTGGTGCTGGGCTTCTAGCGCTCTGGATGGGGGCCCTAAGTTGTAGAGTGAAGCTGATGACATTTTTGTTCTTGGGATCCTCATGCCTCAAAGGGCTCAGATTCCAGGAGAGCCTTAGTTTGTCTGCCAAAGACCCTGACTGTCCATCGGGAGAGAAGGCACCAAGGGGAGTCTGAGGAACTCAGGCAAGGCCCAGGCAGGGAATCTGACCCAGGTGATGAAGCGAGCCCGAAGCACACTTACGGTCTTGCCACCTTTGCCAATCACCCGGCCAGCTGTGGAAGAGGGCACTCTGATATGGGCCTCCAGCTTCACTTCTTCCTTGGGGTTAAAGAAGTTTTCTTCTTTCAGTTTCCCAAAGATCCGTCCCTGGGCCTGAGAGAGCAAGACATGCCTAATGACTCTCAGCCAGTCAGCAGCCAGCCACTTCATCCATGCTGCCAAGGGCACTGGAGAGTCCAGACAACAGATCACCCCCACTCCCATGCTCCCTGGGACACACAGGAAGCTGCGCACCCCAGCCTCAGCTCTCTTACAGCCCTGGGAGGCGCTACTCCTGCCACATACAACAGCTGCATGTGGAAAACTGTAATGGGCATGCGCGTTTTGGTGGTTTTCACAGGGCTGCCTCCTCTAGGAAGCTTTTAGTGTGTCAGGGTTAACCGGATGGGTGAGGGGATGAAACTCTATGTCTTATTTCCATTATCATCACCTATAAATGTTCGCTTAATTGACTGAATTTTTTCAGGAGATTCTTAAATCCCATCACCATAGGGTCACACCCCTGGTTATTGAAGGATGGAGGTGATAGTGGTGGTAATGGGATTTGAGGAGCCTGATATTGCTTTTTTTTAAATTAGAACAATTTTTTTTATGGAGAACAGGGTTCTGCTCTGTGCCTGGCCTGGAGTGCAGTGGCATAATCACAACTCATGTTTTCTTTTCTTTTTTTTGAGACGGAGTCTCACTCTGTCACCCAGGCTGGAGTGCAATGGCACGGTCTTGGCTCACTGCAACCTCTGCCTCCTGGGTTCAAGCCATTCTCCTGCCTCAGCCTCCCAAGTAGCTGGGATTACAGGCATGTGCCACCATGCCCAGCTAATTTTTCATATTTTTAGCAGAGATGGGTTTTCTCTGTATTGGTCAGGCTGGTCTTGAACTCCTGACCTCATGTGATCTACCCGTCTCTGCCTCCCAAAGTGCTGGGGTTACAGGCGTGAGCCGCTGCACCCTGCCCACTTTCTGTCTCTACAGACTGGCCTATTCTGGACATTTCATATAAATGAAATCATTTCATACATGGCTTTTATTTATTTTGAGACAGTCTTGCTCTGTCACCAAGGCTAGAGTGCAGCAGTGTGATCACAGCTCATTGCAGCCTTGACCTTCAAGGCTTCTTGTGATCTTCAAGCGATCCTCCTGCCTCAGCCTCCCAAGCAGCTGGAAATACAGGTGCATGCTACCACACCCAGCTACTTTTAGCAATTGTTTTGGTAGAGACAGGGGTCTCGCTGTGTTGCCCAGGCTGGCCTCAACCAGCCCTCTTGCCTTGGCCTCCCAAAGTGTTGGGATTACAGGCACGAACCTCCACTGCTGGCCTACATGGGGCTTTTGGCATCTGACATTTTACTTAGCATGAAGTTCACGTGTCTCACCATGCATCAGGACTCCATTCCTTTCTGTGGCTGAGTTAATATTCTGTTACATGGATATTCCACATGGTGTCCAGTATCAAGATGAAGGGTTACTGTTTTTTATCTTTTTCCTTTTGGTTGGAGATGAGGTCTTGCTATGTTGCCCAGGCTGTTTTCAAAATCCTGGGCTCAAGGGATCCTCCTGCCTCTGCCTCCCGAGCAGCCGGAACTACAGGAGCACTGCCACTGCCTGCTGCACCTGGCTTAGGCTGCTGCTTTTGAGTTGGTTCCACATGGGTGATTTTCCTCTTTTCAGCTAAATTTTAAATATTTTCTTTTTTTTTTTTTGAGGTGGAGTTTTATTCTGTTGCCCAGGCTGGAGTGCAGTGGCACGATCTTGGTTCTTTGCAACCTCTGCCTGCCAGGTTCAAGCAATCCTCCTGCCTTGGCCCCCCTAGTAGCTGGGATTACAGCTAATTTTTGTATTTTTAGTAGAGACAGGGTTTCACCATGTTGGCCAAGCTGGTCTCAAAGTCCTGACCTCAGGTGATCCACCCGCTTGGGCCTCCCAAAGTGCTGGGATTACAGGTGTGAGCCATAGCACCCGGCCATTAATTTTAAATATTTTTAATGATAAGGACTGTACTTTTATAAATAAATATCTAATTTATAACTTTCAGAAAGCTCAAGCTGTTATTTTTCTAGGGGAGAAAAGAAGGCAAAAACAAAGCAAAACAGAGCACACCTCGCTGAAGAAGGTCCAACAACCCATGCTATTTGCCCTGACTCCTGTGTCAGTGCTCCGCAGCCTGAGGGTAGAAATGACTAAATGAGTTGGAGACACCCTCTTCAAAACCAGAGCTAAGGGATCAGAGATGATCAGAGATGCCAGAAGACATGCTGCTCTCAAACAAGGCGCCAACGGACTTTTCCATGAGAGGGAGGGGAAAGAGGGCTTCCCAGCAGAGGGTCAACGTGTAGAAGGAACAGGCTGGATGGAGGTGGGGACAACTGGGTGAGCCTGTGCCCAGTGAGCAGTGGCAGGAAGGGAAATGGAGGCAGGGCTTCCAAAGAAGAGCCTTGAGTGTGCCTCTGAGGCGGCTGCTCAGTGCCCAGAGCCTGCAGGGCTGAGGTGGCCCTTGGCACTAACCTTGAACTGGGCTTCCGGCGGCCCAGTGATGATGACCATCCTTTCGCTGACGTCTGGGCCTTCTGCAGGGGCGATCTGTGGTTCACGGGAGAGGAAAATGCTGATGCTCGGCTACATTCCCCAGCGCCTCTTTCTCGTCTATGTGGACGGCAAGCACAGCGGCAGGAGATTCCAGGTCTTGCTTCTGCCGTTACACCTGCTCTGTCTGACGCCAGGCTGCCTCCTCCCTGGTCTTAGGAAGTCACAACTGTAATGCTCAGTATCAAATCTGGGTCTTTGGCCAGCACGATGGCTCATGCCTGTAATCTCAGCACTTTGAGAGGCTGAGACGGACAGATCATGAGGTCAGAAGTTCGAGACCAGTCTGGCCAACATAGTAAAACCCCGTCTCTACTAAAAATACAAAACATTAGCTGGGTGTGGTGGTACACACCTGTAATCCTAGCTACTCAGGAGGCTGAGGCAGGTGAATCGTGTGAACCCAGGAGGCGGAGACAGTGCAAGACTCCATCTCAAAAAAAAAAAAAAAGGCGGCGGGGGGCGGTCTTTGGCCATCCAGGAGAGTCAGACACAGGCCAGCAGTGACTGCCTGTCCCTGCCCCAAGCACTAACAGTGACGGGACTCCTCTCACTGAGCCAAGTTTTAGGAAATAGCCAGGGAGCCAAAAGCTCTCAGAAGAGAGGCGTATGGGCTCTGCCAACCCACCTAGGGCCCAAAGGGAAGGAAGGGCAGCTCCACTAAGGTGTGAAATTGAGTCGAGCTTGCAGCAAAGGTAACTCTGGTTCTAATTCTCAGCTCGTGGGGGTAGTCGGCTGCAAGTGACAATTGAATTAGAGTAGGTGTGGTCAGGACCACTTCCTCCACAGCAAATGGGCCATAAGTAAAACAGCAGCAGAGCAAGAATGAGGGCACCTTGGTTCCAGGCCTGGCTCCACAAATCCCTCCCCTTGCTGTGCCTCCATCCCCTCATCTGTGAAACATGGGGTCTGGCTCCAGCAAGCTCCAAATCTCTTTTTTTTTTCAAGACTGGGTCTTGCTCTGTCGCCAGGCTAGAGTGCAGAGGCGCGATCTCAGCTCACTGCAACCTCCCCTCCCAGGTTCAAGCAATTCTGCCTCAGCCTTCCGAGTAGCTGGGACTACAGGCATCCGTCACCACACCAGGCTAATTTTTGCATTTTTAGTAGAGACGGGGTTTCATCATGTTGGCCAAGTTGGTCTCAAAGTCCTCCAAAGAAGAGCTCAAGTGACCCACCCATCTTGGCCTCCTAAAGTGCTGGGATTACGGGTGTGAGCCACTGTGCTCGACCTGAATTTCTGTGAGTTCAGGTTCTTTTGTAACATGACTCAAACGTGGGCTGAGCAGGCATTTTTGTTACAGAGATCCTTGTTATAGTTTTGTTGCTATATACCCTTCTTTAGTCAAAACAACTTTAGCTAAAAACAAATACAAGATTAAAACTTAACAGTGTGGCAAAATTAAATGTCATTAAAAGTAAAATGAGGCTGGGTCCAGCGGCTCATGCCTGTAATCCCAGCACTTTGGGAGGCCGAGACAGATGGATCACCCGAGGTCAGGAGTTTGAGGCCAGTCTGGTGAAACCCCATCTCTACTAAAAATACAAAAACTAGCCAGGTGTGGTGGTGGGTGCCTGTGGTCCCAGGTACTTGCGAGGCTGAGGGAGGAGAATCACTTGAACCTGGGAGGCAGAGGTTACAGTGAGCTGAGATGGAGCCACCGCACTCCAGCCTGGGCAACAGAGAGAGACTCTGTCTATAAAAAAAAAGTAAAATGAGTGCCCACCAGGCATTTAGGGATGTAAGGATGAGCCAAGAGTGAGGTCAGGACACAGACGCATCTCATAATGTCTTACACACCTGCCCCAGGCTGGCCACAGATGCAGGTCTAAGCTAAGAGCAAATACGAAACAAGAAACATGGTCAGTGACGGGGCCATCATGTTCTAAGGCAAAACCAAGGCAGGGGTTCAGGGGAGCCGCCATTCCTGGGACTCTCTCAAGAAAGAGATCTGTTTGGTGAAACGGGGTTCACCCTTCATGTGGCATTTGTGCACACATTGCCTCTGGATCACTGAGTCACTTGGGCTCCTGCAAGAAGACCTCCACCTCCAGAGGATTCAATTTTGTTTCCTCTCTGTGTGTGCTAACAGCCAGCTTCCATCCATGGGCCTCAGCGTCCAGGGCGGCTACCCAGCTTTACTGTGAATACATAGCCAAGACATGCTCGGACCCCTGTCCTGCTCTGGAAGGAGAGACCCCTTCATGGGATCTGCAAAGAGTTCTCTGGCCTTGGAGGGATGAGGATAAATGTGAGAGCTCAGGTGACAGCTGAGCCTCATGGGGGATTTCACTTGCTGTGGGCAGCCATTTCTTGGCATGGCCTCAGCCAAAAAACACAGATCTGAGTGTGTCCACCGGTCTGACACCCTCTGGCAGGTCACACAGACCCTGGCCATTGAGACTTTCGGCAGGAGCCCTTGACTCTTCTTCGAGATCCACACCTGGCATTAAACCTGGTCCTTATCTCAGAGATGAGAGAGAGCAGATCAGGGCCGCTCCCACCACCACCCAAACCGAGAAGGGTGAATGGCTGATTCATGATTAACGTGGACCAAATCAGTTCTGCCGTCGCCATCCGCTTCCTAGCAACCTGTGGCTGCTCTGCTCAGATTCCAAAAGAAACCCTCACTGGCTCTACTGCCCGGCATTCACCAGCCTAGACCGGAAGTCAGGGCTACTCGTGCACTTCTGCAGTTTTAGAATGTCGCCCCATGGGCACACCCCCTCTGAAGGGGCAGGAATGAGGACCCCATCTTATGCCTGAAGCAAATGGGACCCAGAGATAACTGCCAAGATCACAGGGTGAGTGGGGCCGGGGTAAGGATCCGGAACTGGGCGTGACTGGCTGACTGAAGTGTGGGCAGCATTTGGAGGCCTGATGCCCAGGCGCTCCACAGGAAAGGCAGGGATGGAGCTCAGCTCTCACCTGCAGCCACAGCATTTCCTGGAATGCATCACCCAGATCTTAGCCCAGCCCACCTCCTCCGGGCACTCTGCTCCAGTGGATGAGTGTGGGGCTCTCCCCTGCCCAGCAGCATCAAATGTGCCCCCACTGTGGCCCCCCAAAGACTGGTGAAATAGAACTGGGGGTGGGGTCTCGAGTTAGTGACATCATCCATCTTGCTTTAGAGACAGATGCTTTCAGGTACCTGTTGAGACAAAGGGAATCTAGCAAAAACCAGATTGATTTTCTGTTTTATTTTCATTTTTGTGAGACAGAGTCTCACCCTGTCACCCAGGCTGGAGTGCAGTGGCATGATCTCGGCTCACTGCAACCTCTGCCTCTCAGTTTCAAGCAATTCTCCCGCCTCAGCCCCCGAGTAGCTGAGATTTCAGGCACTCGCCATCATGCCCGACTAAATTTTTGTATTTCTGTAGAGATGGGGTTTCACCATGTTGCCCAGTCTGGTCTCCAACTCCTGACCTCAGGTGATCCACCCACCTCGGCCTCCCAAAGTGCTGGGATTACTGGCATGAGCCTCTGCACCCAGTTGATTGCTTTTAAAAATTTGGAAATTTCCTTCACAAATACTGGGCTTCCCTGATTTATGCTATGGAGAGAGGCAGCAGCTGGGGAAGAGACGGTTGCTGGAGAAGGTTGTTGGTCCAGCATAAAGAACACTGTCTGGCCCTTCCTAAGCTGTAGAGCCATTTCTGTCCTGATGCAGCACTGCTGTCTTTGCCCATCACAGAGGCCAGGAGCATAGTGACCCTCTGGGACATGGGACTGTGGGATGCAGCCCAGGATTGACCTCTCTGTCTCTCTTATTTTCCCAAAGACCCTGCTGGAAATGATTCTGGCATTACACTTAGGTTGCTACAGTGGAAAAACACACTGGAGCAGAAACAGGATAATCTGGGCAAATCTTGGCTCTAGCATTCTTCAGCTTTGTGGCCTTGGACAAGTCAATGAAAACTCCCCAGGCCCCAGGTCCTCATGGGCAATAGTAAACGAGGAGGGACTGTGGTGGGGAGCCTCGGGAGGGGCTTGATGTCCCAGGAGTCGGCGGAGTTTCTATCTCAGAGCCAGCCCTGCCACATGTGTGCCTTGCCCCTGTCCCTGCACTCTCAGCCTCACTTTTCCCTGCTGAACGAGAGAGGGATTTGATGAGATGATCTCTCAAGTCCCTTTTAGTTGAAATTGTCTTTTCTGCTGCCTGGCATCTCAGAATGCAGGACTGAAAGCTGGGCAAGGCCCCCTCAGGGGCGGGGCCCACACCTGCCTATCAGTGCCCAGGCTGGAGTCTCACCTGCAGCAGGCCTGCTAGGCACAAGGGCCCCCATACCTCAGGGCTCTCATCCTGTCTGTCCACTCTGCAAGTGAGATAAATGAGGTCTGAGAGGGAAAATGGTTCACCAAAATGAAATTCCCAGATAGCTGGCTGGGTGCAGTGGCTCATGCCTATAATCCCAGCACTTTAGGAGGATGGATCATTTGAGGTCAGGAGTTTGAGACCAGCCTGGACAACACAGAGAAACCCCATCTCTACTAAAAATACAAAAATTAGCTGGGCATGGTGGTACACCCCCAGCTACTCGGGAGGCTGAGGCAGAAGCATCCCTTGAGCCTGGGAGGTGGAGGTTGCAGTGAGCCAAGATGCGCCACTGCACTTCAGCTTGGGCTTGGGTGACAGAGTGAAACCCTGTCTTTAAAACATGTACATATATATGATGGCCTCAGGGCGATCCTTTTTCTGTACTACTCAGAATGTTTGGGTTTTTTTCTCTAGCACACTTGCTGTGGGAGAAATTCCAGCTCTTCTTGGGAGAAAGCATTCTTTCTCTCCCAGTCATGGGACTTCTCATTTGGAATTCCGGGTTGTCCCATGGTAGCAAATTATTTTGCGTAACAACAAAAACTCTGTTTTCGAAAGTGCTGCGTGAGGCCTGGGACGTGCTCGGCATTCTGCCCGTGAGTCAGAGCTGATAGCTGGGCTTGGAGCAGGACCAGGGGCAAATAATCCTCCCCTTTCAGCTTCTCTGACGATTCTCCATGCTATGCTCGAGGAGGCAGGATGTGGGCCTGGGGTGGCAGCCACGTCTGCACTCGCAGCCTTCCCCGAAGTCCAGGGCCTCCCCTCCTGAGCCTCTCTGCTCAGGCCAGGCTGCAAATCGGGGTGGAGCATCAGCTTTTGTTTATGATTCTATCTTTGCTTTTCAAGGAATTTCTCATTCATACTATTTTCTCCAAGTTCAGGGCCTGTGGAGACTAATTAAAGCATCGTACGCGGATACTTGCTAAGCTATCGCTCCAGTGCGCCCCCTTCCCTCGGCTTGGGAAAATCCTCAACCTTTCTTTGCTTTATCTTTTTTTTTTTTTTTTTTTCTCTGAGACAGAGTTTCACTCTTGTTGCCCAGGCTGGAGTGCAGTGGCGTGATCTCTGCGCATCATAACCTCCGCCTCCTGGGTTCAAGCGATTCTCCTGCCTCAGCCTCCAGAGTAGCTGGGATTACAGGCATGCGCCATCACGCCCGGCTAATTTTTTGTACTTTTAGTAGAGACGGGGGTTTCACCATGTTGGCCAGGCTGGTCTTGAACTCCTGATCTCATGATCTACCCGCCTCAGCCTCCCAAAGTGCCGGGATTACAGGTGTGAGCCACCGTGCCCGGCCGATTTTAATCATTGCTTTTCAAAGAGTTTTTGATCCATACCATTTCCTCAAAGTTCAGGGCCTATGAAGTGGAGACTAATTGGACATCTGCTAAATTATCACTCCACTGCAGCCCCTTCCCTTGGCCTGGGAAAATCCTCAGCCTGTCTTTGCTTAATGTTCTTGAGGACAACCACAACAAGCCAAAGAGGACTGGGTTGCGTGGTTTGCTACGAATACTTTTTTTCCTAACTCAGTGGTTAGTTGAACGGCATAGGAATGAGAAAAGGAGACATGAGAGCAGATGGGAACAGTCCTGCAGGCAACTGCTCCAGACGCTGTGGGATTCTGACTCTGTGTGGTGTGGCGGGGCCTGGGACTGAAAAGGCACAGGGGTGCGGGGTGAGGGGAGGCGGAGAAAGAGCCGCAGGGCTGTCGGGAGCAGCCTCACCTTGATGGAGGCTCCGGCGAATCTCGCCAGCTGTTTGATGTGTGCCCCTTTCTTCCCGATGATGGCACCCACAGCCTGGGTTGGGATGAAGAGATTCACAATCTCCTGCTCTGGATACTTGGGAGGGCAAGACAAGAAAGAAGACATCATTCTAACTGGGCTTTCTCCTCCAGGCACTGAGCAGGTGCCAAGCGCCTTACCATGAACCCCATGGTGGGAAGGCCCCACCACCCAAGGAAATGGCTAAAATGGTGGAGGGGATCCTTCTGTGGCCTATGGCTCTGCAGGCGTGAAGCCCGAGGAAGGAACCTGAGCAGAGGCAGCGCCGGTGACAATCAAGGGGATACTCCTCTCAAGCATCTCAGTTTGCTGGATTCTAAGAGCTGTCTGTTCACAGGTTTTCTGGCTTATACAAATGTGATCTGTATCTCTCCTGTCTCCCAAGAAATCAAAGCAGCTATGAGACACACATGGCTGAGGACGGCCCCCAAGACATCTGTGTGAGGCAACGGACAGGTGCCCCGCCCATCTGGTAGCCAGAGAAGCATTTCACAAGGAAACCTGCCCTGACCCGGCTGCATGGTGACAGCCCAGGATGATGGGGTGCACCACCCCTCCTGGGGCCCTGTGACAAAAGGTAGAGGCTCTTGGGCAAGGCTGCCAGGGTTCCTTGCAAGTGGGGTCTGTGTGAATGGTATGACCTGATTTGCTAGACTTTGTTCAAAGAGCTTTGGAAACTCTGCTCTTCAGGGCCAACAGCACCTCCTCATCCAGCCTCCTGCTCGCTCGTCCGCAGCAGTTCCTGCCACCTGGGAGGTGTGCGAGCATCCGCAGGACTGCGCAACAGGAAGGGCACCCGCCTCTGAAGAACCTCAGGGACACTCGGGTGCTGGGCAGTTTGGCGTGCTCATGCTTTGAGGGGCGTCACTCCCAGGACAACCCAGAGCCACAGGAGATAGAAGCTGCACTATGAATGTTCACCGGCCAGCCTATCAAGGGCCGAGTGGGCTCAGCCCCAGAGAGGGAAAAGCGGCAGACACGGCTGAACTGGGAGGCACTTACAGAGTGATGATGCGGGAACGGCCCAAACTGGTGATGGGGGTACAGGCTGGAGAAGTATCCGGAGTGGGTCTGTGCATGAGAGAAACAGTCAGTGGGCAGGGGCCCTTAGGGACCATCACCATCCTCAGGGAGGCAAGATCTCCCACATGCAACACAGACTCTCCGTGGCATCAGCCAGCTCCACTGTCGTGTCTACACGCCTGTCCCTCTGCGTCTCAGATCTCTGCTCCACTTTTCCCACTCAGACCACTGAACGTGTGGCAAGATGTCCCCCAGTTGCTGAGGCTCTCTGGGCTAAATGTTCATCATTTCTAAGCTGAGTCATACTTGAGGCTTCCTAGGAACATACCATGGGTGTGAACGCACTCACACATACACACCCACTGACACTGCACCCATGCCCCCTGGTGGAGAGGCGGGGCCCGTGCCTTCCATTTTCTGGGGAATGATGAGTCGTAGATTCAAAAGAACAATGTGTGCTGGACAATACCCCAGAGTTATTCAGAACAAGCAAATGTGTTCCTGAGGAGACAGATCAGTTAGCTCCATCAGAGAATTCCAGAGGACTGGAGAGAATCCTGAGAAGGGAGAAATTTAAAAGGAGACTGAACTTTGGGCACCGGAAATGCAAGGATCACTTGGGTCTGGGAATTTGAGACTAGCCTGGACAACACAGAGAGACCCCATCTCCATAGAAAATGAGCTGGGTGCGGTAGTGTGCGCTGTGGTCCCAGCTACTCAGGAGGCTGAGGTGGGAGGATCACGCGAGCCTGGGAATCTGAGGCTACAGTGAGCTATGACTGCACCACTGCACTGGTGCCATGCCTGGGTGACAGAACAAGACCATGTCTCCATTGGGGGGAAAAAAAGAGAGAGAGGAGAGAAAAAAAACTGAATGTGGAGAGGGAGGAGTAGGAAACAAGAGGGCAGATATGCACAGAAAAAAGTAGAGCTATTAAAAAAATAGAAATTTAGAAAGTAGCTTTTTTTTTTTTTTTTTTGAGACGGAGTTTTGCTCTTTTGCTCAGGCTGGAGCAAAGTAGCATGATCTCAGCTCATTCCAACCTCCGCCTCCTGGGTTCAAGCGATTCTCCTGCCTCGGCCTCCCAAGTAGCTGGGATTGCAGGCACCTGCCACCATGCCTGGCTATTTTTTTGTATTTTTAGTAGAGATGGGGTTTCACCATGTTGGCCAGGCTGGTCTCGAACTCCTGACCTCAGGCAATCCACCCGCCTCAGCCTCCCAAAGTGCTAGAATTAAAGGCGTGAGCCACCACGCTCATCCAAGTAGCTGCTTTTACTGAACAGCTACTGTGCATTAGATACTAACATAGATATTTTGTGTCTATTCATAAACTCTTTTAATCCTAGCAAGAGTCCTATGAGAGGGAACTATGTCTCATTTGATATATTCTACTTTTTTCCTTTTGAGATGGAGTTTCGCTCTTATTGACCAGGCTGGAATGCAATGGCATGACATCGGCTTACTGCATCCTCCACCTCCCAGGTTCAAGTGATTCTCCTGCCTCAGCCTCCCAAGTAGCTGGGATTACAGGCATGTACCACCAAGCTCAGCTAATTTTGTATTTTTTGTAGAGACAGAACTTCACCACATTCATCAGGCTGGTTTCAAACTCCTGACCTCAAGTGATCCACCCGCCCCAGCTTCCCAAACTGCTGGAATTACAGGCGTGAGCCACCACACCCAACCTGATATAGTCTTACAGGCAGAACGCTGACCTGAGTCAGCAGAATTGTGAGCTGTGCTTTACATAAGGCCCGGTCAACACTGACATCACTCTTTCAGGAAAGGAGGTGAACAGCACTGGGCACCATGGAACCAATCCCTGCAGGCCCACCCTGCAAGATGGTGCCCCAGGAAGGCAATTCCAACAGTGGTCAGACATGGCCTGGGCTTGGAGTTTGGTGACCCAGCTTTCATTTGAGGACCCCTGAGCAAATGTCACAGTGACAGGCATGCTCTCCATCCCCTGAATTTCCTGAAGGTTACGACTTTGTCGTATAAGCCATTAAGGACAAAATGAAACCGCTGCCCTTTCTGAGCTTGGAGAGAGAAGGCAGAGATGTGAACAACCCGAGGCGCTCTTCCAGGGGTGTGTAGGTTACCAGCCACACCTGCGGGCCACAGAGCGCTACCTAACACAGCAGCGGTGAGAGCCTCGCTCGGATTTGCAAAGGGGCTGCAGCAGCCCCTCATGCCCACAAGAGGGCGCCAAGAGATCAGCAGTCTCTTGGCAACCTTAAGTTTTGCAGGAAGGTGGGTGAACCGGTTTCTCTCTCTGCTCCGCCTCTTTCTTAAGGACCTCCTGGAAAGAACATCAGCTCCAGATCTTTCTCTGCAGGTCCCTGTCCTGGGCCATGAAGAGCTGGGGGAGAATTCAAGCAACTTTTCTGCTCAGAACTCTCCTCTGAGGAAAGGGCACTTCAGCCCTCCTCCCCCTGAAGAATCAGGCCTCATGGCAAAAATAATTCTTTTGAACTATGTTGTGCCATTTGCTAACTCACGTGAGGCCAGGAATAGACAAGCCACAGTGTGGCTCCTATTCTGGATTCAAATATTCTCACATAAATACTATCAAATTTAGACTTCCTACTCAGGGTTAGAAAGAGATTCTTAAAATTAGCTGTCAAAGGATAAAAAGGACAAATTCTCTTTTATTCATGAGTCACAGCTGGAAAACTGTCACAGGGAAAGAATCTTGAACTCTGCAATCAGGAGCTTGTTTCTAGCGGAGGCTGTGCCATTAGCCCCTGTGTACAGGAGTTAGTTTTTAGAGTCAGAAGATTTGAGTCTCTGAATCACCAACTCTACAAGTTGGAAAAACTTAACCTATCTAAGTCTTATCCATAAATAGACTCAAATAATATCTTATAGTATTGTAGTGAGGGTTGGTTCAATCATTCATTCAAAAGGCATTTGAGGTCAGGAGTTCGAGACCAGACTGGCCAACATGGCAAAACCCTGTCTCTAGCAAAAATACAAAAATTAGCTGGCCGCGGTGGTGGGTACCTGTAATTCTAGCTACTCAGGAGGTTGAGGCAGGAGAATCACTTGAACCCAGGAGGCAGAGTTTGTACTCTAGCCTGGGAGACAGAGCAAGACTTCACCTCAAAAAAAAAGAGTCTCTTACCAGAGCAAACTTTCTGTTTCTCATCCCCTTCCCATATGTTCCCTTTCCTGGGAGAACTGTCAGGTTCAAGCTACGATGTGTGACCATCTGATACACAAGGGCAAGGATCTGGCATTGATCTTTTGTATTCTATTTTTCATTCCAATTTCATTTATTTCCACCCTGATCTTTATTACTTCTTTTCTTCTACTAATTTTGCTGTTAATATGATGTAACACACTGACTGATCTGCATATGTTGAACCATCTTTGCATGCTAGGGATAAATCCCACTTGGTCATGAGTGGTCTTTCTAATGTACTGCTGAATGCGGTTTGCTAGTATTTTGAGGCATATATATGAATTATGTTCAAATTTTTAAATAGTTTCAGTGTGATGCCAGAGTGCAAAGCTGGTGGGTGCTCCCTCTGGGCACCAGGGCCATGGGCCTTGGGAAGGGGCGAGGACTTGGCCAGAGGGTTCGGTGTTGTGGACACAGCTTTCTAAGATGCAGAAGGTGCGCTGCTCTACGCCAGCTTGTCCAAGTGTCTCCTGATATGGCAGCTGCCTGTCCTGCTCTCATGGGACAACCTGAGAAGCTGGAGGGAGCTAGGAATTGGTGAGCCAGCAAGAGGGAGAGCGCTAACACAAATCTCTGTGCCTGCCTCTACAGCCCAAGATTTGAACCACCGCACTCAATGTTGCACTCACCTGGGCATTCTGAACCCACTGGTTCAGGTGGAGTGTGGGGAGCATGCTATGAAAAAGCTCCCCATAAGGATTGTAATTATGTTCTCTGTTGAGTTCATTTAAATATATAAATGAATAACTAAAATCCATTAGACACATATAAAGAATCAGCCGCATGAAGGAGAGTGCAGCACACAGTCCAGCTGCACAAGACACGCAAGTGACCCAAGTGAGTTAATGCAGGGAGAAGGGAGAGCTTTTTACAAAACTGAGATTTTTATCTCCTAGTGAGATTCAAGAGGACAGTGCTTTTTGTACGTAGACTGCTACAAGAAATGAACAACGGAGAACCAGGGTGATCCTGGGTATGAAAAACATGGTTAAGTAAACACTCAGGAGAGGACGTGTAACTAGCAGGGCAGACACTGCTGAGAAGCCCATCGATGCAGGGACCGCCAAACCACACAAACCCAGGACAAACGGTGGGACGTGGACAGGCACGAAGAGTAGAGTGAGGTCTTCTCTAACTCTCCCGTTCTGGAGTGGGAACCTCAGAAGGGGAAACAAAGTAGATGGGAGAGAAGCAACACCGAAATTAATTATGGAAGCAAAACATTCTCCTGAGCCAAAGAAAAACCTGGATCTTCACATCAAAGCACTCAGAATTAGGTTCCTGAATTCCAAAGGTAAAGGCAAAATATTATAAAAGGCAAAAAACTTACAGACAGCAGGGGAAAAAAAAAAGCCAGGTGTGGCAGTATGCACCTGTGGTCCCATACCCAAGAAGCTGAGGCACCAGGAGCATCACCTGAGCCCAGGAGTCTGAGACTGCAGTGAGCTAGGACCACACTACTGCACTCCAGCCTAGGTGACAGAGAGAGCTGGACCCCGTCTCTTTAAAAAAATAATAATAATACAGAAGAAAAGATACCTACAAAAGAAAGAATGCTGGAAGTAACATTTTTAGAGTTCTAAAGGAACTATGGGATGGGCGTGGTGGCTCATGCCTATAATCCCAGCACTTTGGGAGGACAAGGCGGGCAGATCACTTGAGGTCAGGAGTTCAAGGCCAGTCAGGCCAACATGGCAAAACTGCGTCTCTACCAAAAATACGAAAATTAGCCAGGTGTGGCAGCGTGTGCCTATAGTCCCAGCTACTGGGGAGGTTGGGGCATGAGAATCACTTGAACCTGGGAGGTGGAGGCTGTACTGAGCCAAGATTGCACCACTACACTCCAGGGGGACAGAGTGAAACTCCGACTCTAAACAAATAAATAAAGGAACTATGACCCTAGAACTTCTAGACACCCAGAATTCATTCACATGTGCAGGAAAAAGAAGGACATTTTCAGATATAGAAATGCTTAGAAATTATACTTGTTTTCTGTAAAAACTTGTTTGAGAAAATACTCCAGCCAAACAACAACAAAAAATTCAAATAAGTAACTCAAAAACGATTGTGTATTTATTAAAAGAAAGCAAGCTTAGGCCAGGCGCGGTGGCTCACGCCTGTAATCCCAGCACTCTGGGAGCCCAAGGCGGGCAGATCGCCTGAGGTCAGGGGTTCAAAAGCATCTTAGCCAACATAGCAAAACCCCATCTCTACTAAAAATACAAAATTAGCCTGGCATGGTGGCTAATCCCAGCTACTTGGGAGGCTGAGGCAGGAGAATCTTTTGAACCTGGGAGGTGGAGGTTGCAGTGAGTCGAGATGGTGCCACTGCACTCCAGCCTGGGCAACAAGAGTGAAACTCCGTCTCAAAAAAAAAAAAAAAAAAAGAGAAAGTTTGCCTTAAAAATAAGCAGTCTGTGTAGAGAAAAATTAGGAATGAAAAAAGCTATGAAGTATCCTGAGCCCCAATTTGGTAATGTATTAATCCTGAATAATGCTTGTGAATGAAAACAGTAAGTAAAACACTCATAAAATTCATATTTCTTCTGTTGTGAATAAATACTTACTGAGAACTTACTAAATACCAGGCATTGTGCTAAGTGTTTAGATACAAACAATGTATGTTACATTTTCTTTTTTTTTTTTTTTTAAAGACGGGGTTTCACCATGTTGGTCAGGCTGGTCTTGAACTCCCGACCTCAGGTGATCCTCCCGCCTTGGCCTCCAAAGGGCTTGGACTACAGGCATGAGCCACCACGCCCGGCCACATTTTCTTTAAAAAACTGCCTATTAATAAAACATAATACATTTGAATTGTAGATACAGGTAGAAACTGTATATGTATGTATGTCGACACGTATCTCTGCTCTATATATTTTAATAAATGATCAACACTCATGAAATGTTATTTGAGCTAACAAGTCCTTTTTTATAATAAATGAGCTCCTAGTTGATGAATTTGCTATTGGTTTCTTTCTTTGCTACTTATAGCATACTGTATTTAAGAACACATGTTGTCAGGCGTGGTGGCTCACACCTGTAATCCCAGCACTTTGGGAGGCCGAGGCTGGAGGATCACGAGGTCAGGAGTTTAAGACCAGCCTGGCCAACATGGTGAAACACTGTCTCTATTAAAAATACAAAAATTAGCTGGGTGTGGTGGCAGGCACCTGTAATCTCAGCTACTCATGAGGCTGAGGCAGGAGAATTGCTTGAACCCAGGAGGCAAAGGTTGCAGTGAGCTGAGACCGTGCCCCCGCACTCCAGCCTGGGCGACAGAGAAAGACTCCGTCTCAAACAAAACAAAACAAAACAAAAAAACCCCCCATATGTTTAGAGGATGGTTTAATATGAATCTGCCCATTAGGAAGAAGTCCTAAGCAATGCTGAGTTCAACCTACATTGGATTCATCTGTACTCAAGCACAGTCTTTAAATGAAAGCTTCTGTTCTGATTCCACATAGGAGAGTGATGCTGCTGCCTGGAGGTGCCCAGCGCATAAGCACACCTCCACCAGCTGAGCTACTTACAGCGAAGGGGTGGTAGGGGGCAGCGGGGGGAGCTCCGCGGGGCCCTGCTGGTGGAGAGAGCACGGACAGTCCTGTTGAAAAGATGCCAAGTGCGCTGAGGTTCAACCCTGGGATCAGATTGGCTTGTTGCTGAGAATAGAAATGGAGAAAACAGATGAAGGGAGGAGACCAGAGAGGCCCGCACGCCTGGGTCAACCTCCCTCTCTTGTCTGAACGGCAGCAGCGGCTGCTGATCGGCTCTGCCCGGGCTCCGTGGACCTCTTCCTATGCCGTATCAGAGGTGGTTGCTACATCTCAACCTGACCATGGAGTTCCTTCAAGGCTTCTCTGCCGCCCTTGGCGTGTCTATGTATGTCATGATGGCAAATGAGGCTCTTCCTGGGGATGGCAGCCACCTTGCCAGCCTCACTCCTGCTAACCTTTCGTCTCCAGCCTGGCCAGTCCTGCTCCCTAATTACCTCTGGGCCCCTGCACATGCTATTCATTTCCTAGGCAAGCAAGTGCTTTCTGCCTTCCCACCTGGCTAACTCCTACTGACCTGCGGGTTTCACCTGAGCACAGATGACCCCTCATGCAGGAAACTTTCTCTCATCCCTCCAGAGCCCTGTCTGCACTCTCCAGCACTCCTGCTTCCCTAAGACAGCACACATTACATGGTATTTAAATAGCCTGTTTAGTTACCTCTTCCCCTTTTAGACCAGAGTTTCCTTGCAGACAGAGACTGTCATACTTCACGTTGTGTTCTCAGTGCCTGGTACATAGTAAGTTCTCAATAAATATTTGTTGAATGACTGTTTAAAACAAATTGTATTAACAGTGTTTTCTAACTATCCAGGGAAAGGTCAGACCCTTCACACAATGTAAATTCCCACACAGATAAACTCCACCGTTTGGGACGGTTGACAACTTTATCTCTTCACTATTTAGCTGCCAGCTTTGTGATCATCTTGCTTGCTTCTCTTACATTTCAGCATGGGGCTGCTCACACAGGCTGCGGGTGGGATTTAACCACACAGCTCTTCAGAGACAGGAACGTGGTCACCCACTCCAGGCCGTATCCAACCTGCTTCTGTCTTTGTTTTGCTGAACTCGAAGCAATTTCCGAACATTTTCTATTTTCTCATCTTTGGCTACATTTACTCTGTAACTCGCCTTTTTTTTTTTTTTTTTTTAAAGAACATCTGGAGTAGCAGGACTCATATCCTTCACCTTTACCTCATTTGGTATATAAGAGGTAGTAATTTTGTTATTCACCTACCAGTGTGTGAGTCTGGCACAGACACGAATGAATCTAAGTAGAAAGCTCAGGTGAAGATGTGTGAATCACTCAGACCCTTCTGTAGCTTTTCCAGGTGTTCACAGAAAGAGATGTTTATCATAAGATGTCAAGAACCCACAGGAAGAAAATGAGATTGTCAGATGAGACTTCCACAAATGTATCCAAGCACGGGGAGAAGACCACATGGCAGTCTCCTGCTCTACCTCTTCTCATCAGGCCCTGTCATTATCATGTGATGTGGGCTGCTAAGGTGGGGTTGGGGTGAGGTGGGGACAGATGACTGGCCGCAGTAGAGGGTACAGCAGAGAGTGCTGTATTCAGGGACCTGGGTTTAACCCACACAGTGCTTTGTCGACATTTATTTCTCTAAGAAATATTATCAGGTCTGAGATTTGCTTCAAGGTCATCCAACAGGTACTGAAAGTGGACATGGACAAGGGTTTACAGGAAACGAAGCAGGCCGTGAGCAGATAACTGCAAAAGCTGGATCATGGGTGTGTGAGGGCTTATTGGAGCGCCCTTTTCACTTCTGTATATGTTCAAAAAACCTAATTAAAAAGTAAAAAAATGTACTCCTCTGAGCTGAGCTGGACTTTTGCTGATGGCCAAATATTTCGAAGGTTTTCTGTTTCTGAATGCCAGATCAGTGTCTCCCCATTAAGAGTAAAAATTAGGTAGCAATCATAGGAAGGACTAAACCTAAATGAGTCTGCTAGAAGTATCAGTAAGAGCTCAAGTGGCTGACAACACTTAGCAGGCAATCTAAAAGTGCAGATCAGCAAGCAAGGGAGGAAATCAGAAGTTAACTTTATGCATTTTTTAAATTTAAAAAGTAACAGGATATTACAATAAGGTTTGGATGGCTACACACATGGAAAAAAAAATCCCACTTTTCTAACATACCAGCTATGTTATGTTTTTGTACGTAGTCATCCAGTCATTCTGATCCATGTTATTTTACATAATCGTAACTTTAGTTATATACTTCTATATCTTGCTTTTCTTATTTATTTATTTAGAGATCGGAGTCTCACTCTGTTGCCCAGGCTGGAGTGCAGTGGTATAATGCCAGCTCACTGACGTAGCCTCAACCCCCTCGGCTCAAGTGGTCCTCCTGCCTCAGCCTCCTGAGTAGCTGGTACTGCAGATGCATGTCACCACACCCAGTTATTCCTGCTTTTCTTAATAAACATTGTATCATAAGCTGTTCCTTATTTCAGTCTTCAAAGTTATAATTTTAATGTCTTCACACAGTTTTGTCCAGTGTATTTATCTTAATTTACTAGTTGGTTTCCTAATTATTTTCATGCCTTTATCCTAGGAAGTCAGGAAAAACTCTGCATACCTATCCTAAGGCACTTCCTCATTAGCTGAATGACAATTATTCTTAATAGTCTTGAGCGCTACCTTAAAACACGTGTGAAAACTCGCAGAGAAGAATGCAGTAGGGACTTACATTAACAGCCAGCATATCATTTTCAAAGGCCTCACGCAGCTTCTTCATAATCTCTATCTCAGCACAGGCACAAGCCTCGACCGTGCCCTTCACAGTGATGGTTCTTTCCGGGTTGTATATGCTCAAATCCTGCAAACTGACCCATGAGAAGAAGAGAGAAATTTGGTTTTCAACAAGAAAAATACAATGCCAAAAAAAAAAAAAAAAATCATAAACAAGTCTCTGGTGGAGAGAAGACTCAGTTCTCTCACATCACACTGTGGTGTGGAATCCCTGCCATCTTATTTCATATCTTACTAGTGATTTAGATCACATCCATAGTGAAAAATGGCCACCTGCTAAGTATTTACATACATTTTTAAAAAAATGATGATGAGGCCAGGCAAGGTGGCCCATGCCTGTAATCCCAGCACTTTGGGAGGCTGAGGCGGGCGGATCACGAGGTCAGGAGTTCAAGACCAGCCTGACCAACATGGTGAAACCCTGTCTCTTTAAAAAAAAAAAAAAAAAAAAAAAAAAGGATGATGGAGATAATTGCATCACTTATGATTATATTCCCACTTTAGGGAAAAGTAGATGAAAGAACTGGACATACTGAAATGCTCAGATGTTCCATTATTGGCATGATTAATCTGAATAAGTGGCTTACGATGAGATTGTTATCTTGGTCCCTGTTTCGTGTTCAATTTTCTTCAAATTTCTGCCTTCTTTTCCAATCAGTCTTCCAACCAAGCCATTGTGGGCCAAAATCTTCAGAGGAATCTCTTCGGCTCTAAAAGAGATAAATAACAATTTAACACTTCAGACAGGTACAATAGTTGTCTTCCAAAAATCATTATCTTGCTTTTTTCTTAAAAATGGAAGTCATTTTGTTCAGGTACCAAATGGTGATGGGATTTAGGAGAGGTCAAGTCCCTCACCGACCCTAGTTCATGAATTTTGATCAGCATAAGCCAAACCACCATAATCCTACTCCCTTGTAGTAACTGGTTGGAAGTGGATCCATGACGCTGATCTGGCCAGAGGGTATTACAAGAACTCTATTGGGTGAAGAATGTTCTCCTTGCTCTTAAAAAAAGGGTACAAGGGAAGGTGATGTTAGCAAGATAGCAGAATAGGAAGACACACGTCTCTTTCCCCTACAGACACCTCAAATCAACAACAGACAGACTTGTTGATTTGAGGAATACTTCTGTGAGAACTCTAAAAATCAGCTGAGAAGCTATACCATGAAGTCCATTGTAAACTAAGAAGGAATTCCAGGCCGGGTGGCGTGATTCACACCTGTAATTCCAGCAGTTTGGGAGGCCAAGGTGGGCAGATGGCCAAGACCAGCCTGGACAACATAGTGAAACACCGTCCCTACTAAAAATACAAAATTAGCCAGGCATAGTGGTGCGTGCCTGTAGTCCTAGCTACTTGGGAGGAGATATATATATTACAAAAGAGTAAGAAAATTCAGTGCTTTCACAGCCTCACTCCCTACATGGCATACTGAAGAGCAAAGGGGAGGAAACCCTAAAGGCCAGGTCCTCGGTTGGGACAGAAACAAAGACTGGATTATGCATACAACATTTTGGCTTGTCTGGAAGGTGCCAGAAAATCTGGTTTTTGTGTCACTGATTCAGAGTACTGACAGGATTATCATCAGAGTTCAGAAGCTGCTGAAAACAGAGGCAAGCAGCATTTGAGGACTACAGTTCTGCAGTCAGACATCAGAGGGATCAAGAGATCAGAAAAAGTTTGAGAGGTCCTAGAACCTCTAGCTAGGATTTCAGATCTTCCACTGCCCAAAGCCAGTACACAAAGACCGCGAGAGGTGGTGGTTTTTTCAAACGCCCAAATCCCAACAAAAAAATTTACTAGACATACAAAGAAACAGAAATATAACCCAATCAAAGGACCAAAATAAAACTCCAAAACTGACTCTCAACAACACAGATCTACATGCTCCCCAAACAATAATTAAAATAATTGTAAAGATGCTCAGTGAGCTAAACAAGAGCACAGACAACTAAATAAAGTCAGAAGAATGATGCATGAACAAAATGAGAGTATCAACAACGAGGCAAATTCTAAAAAACAACGTAACAAATTATGGAGCTGAAAAATACAGCCAAACTGAAAAATTTGTTAGAGGAGTTCAACAGCAGACTTGACCAGATAGAGGAAAGGACCAGCACATTTGAATACAGGTCATTTGAAATCTTCAAGTCAGAGGAGTACAATAAAGAAATAAAATGAAGAGAGCCTAAGGACGTATGAGACCTGCCAAGTAGATCAATATAAGCATAACGGGAATCCCAGAAAGAGAAGGGGGAAGAAAAGGGGATAGAGCTTATTTGAAGAAGTAATGGTTGAAAATTTTCTCAAATACAAGGAAAGAATGTACATACAAATCAAAAAACTTAAAAGAACTCCAACTGGGACAAATCCACAGAGAACCACACTGACACACATTGTAATCAAACTGTCTAAAGTCAAAGATAAAGAGAGCATCTGGTAAGAGGCAAGAGAAAAGCGACTGGCATACAAAGGGGCTTCCACAACACTATCTGCAGATTCCTTAGCAGAAACTCTGCAGGCCAGAATGGAGTGGGATGATATATTTGAAGTGCGGAAAGAAACAAACTGCCTACCAAGGATACCATGTGTGGTAAAAGTGTCCTTCAAAAATAAAGGAGAAATTAAGACTCCCAGATAAATAAAAACTGAGGGACTTTATTACCACTTGACCTGTTCTACAAAAAATGCTAAATTATCTAATTTTCCTTGTGCTGTTGATTTCTGGTTTCATTCTATTGTGATCGAAAAAGATACTTTCCATGATATCAATCTTCTCGAATTTGTTAATATTTGTTTTGTAATATTTATGCTGGAGAGCTCCACATGCACCTGAGAACGTATATTCTGCCATTGTTGGATGGAATGTTCTTGTATGTCTGTTGGCCTACAGTGTTGCTCCAATTTATTTCCTTATTGTTCTTCTGTTTGGTAGTTTTATCCATTATTGAAAGTGGGGCACTGACGTTTCCTATTATGTTGCTATCTATTTCTCCCTTCAATTCTTTCAAAGTTGACCTCATATATATATATATATATGCTTTGTATATATATACAGAAGCTCTGAGGTTTGAGATTATAGGCACCCACCACCACATCCTGCTAATTTCTGTATTTTTAGTAAAGACAGGGAAACAGGGTTTCACCATCTTGGCCAGGCTGGTCTTGAACTACTGACCTCGTGATCCACCTGCCTTGGCCTTCCAAAGTGCTGGGATTACAGGCGTGGGCCACGATGCCTGGCGTTTTGTTGCTTTTTTTCTTTTTTTGAGACGGAGTTTCACTCTTGTTACCCAGGCTGGAGTGCAATGGCACGATCTCGGCTCACCGCAACCTCCGCCTCCTGGGTTCAGGCAATTCTCCCGCCTCAGCCTCCTGAGTAGCTGGGATTACAGGCACGCATAACCATGCCCAGCTAATTTTTTGTATTTTTAGTAGAGACGGGGTTTCACCATGTTGACCAGGATGGTCTCGATCTTTTGACCTCGTGATCCACCCACCTCGGCCTCCCAAAGTGCTGGGATTACAGGCATGAGCCATACCCAGCAGACAGTGTATGTTCTTACAGATTTTTTTTTTATGGATACTATTGTAATTATATAAAACATCTTAAAGTCATAGCATCCTATTTTAAACTGGTAACAACTTCACTTCAATTGCATACAAATACTGTATTCCTTTACCCCAGCTCCAAATACCAAAAGTTATATCTTTATATGTTTTTATACCCATTAACATAGATTAATAGCTTAAAACAATGTTTTTGGCATTTAAATTCTATGCACCAAAATTACTACAGTATGGGTTACTATATTTACCTTTATCAGAAAACCATACATTTTCATATGGCTTTGTGTTGCTGTCTGTCATCCTTTTATTTTGTTTTATATTTTATTTTATTGTTTTTTTCCTTTTTTTGAGATGGAGTTTTGCTCTTTTTGCTTGGGTTGGAGTGTAATGGCCCAATCTCGGCTCACTGTAACCTCCACCTCCCAGGCTCAAGTGATTCTCCTGCCTCAGCCTCCCAAGTGGCTGGGATTACAGGCATGCGCCACCACGCCCGGCTAATTTTGTAGTTTTAGTAGAGATGGGGTTTCACCATGTTGGCCAGGCTGCTCTCAAACTTCTGACCTCATGATCTGTCCACCTTGGCCTCCCAAAGTGCTGGGATTACAGGCGTGAGCCACTGCACCCAGCCCCATCCTTTTATTTCCATTTGAAAATAACTAAACCCAAAACCAGCATAAAAATGGCAATAATAAAAGTCAGAGCAGAGATAAACAAATTATAATCAACAAAACTAAGAGTTGGTTATTTATAAAAATCAACCAAACTGAAAAATCCTTAATTAGATTAAGAAAAAAATAGAACATTCAATAACTAAAATCAGAAATGAAAGAGGAAACACTACTACCAGTACTACAGAGATAAAAAGGGTTATAAGAGAATATTATGAACAACTATATGTCTACAAATTTGATAACCTAAAAGAAATGGATCAATTCCTAGAGGGAACATACAACCTCCCAAGATTGAATCATGAAGAAATGGAAAGTCTGATCAGACCAATAATTGAATCAGTAATCAAATATCTCCCAACGTAGAAAAGCCCAGGACCAGATGGCTTCTTCGGAGAATGCTACCAAACATTTAAAGAAGAATTATCACCAATCCTCCTGAAACTCTTCCAAAAAAAATGAAGAGGAGGGAACATTTCCAAGCTCATTCTGTGAGGCCAGCTTTACCCTGATTGCAAAGCCAGACAAAGACACCACAAAAAAAGAAAATTTCAGACCAATATCTCCGATGAGTATTGATGCAAAAATCCTCAACAAAATACTAGCAAATCAAATTCAGCATATGAAAAGGATTATATGCCACAACCAAGTGGGATCTGTTCCTGGAACGGAAGGTTTGTTCAACATACAAGAATCAACTAATGGGGGGCTGGGTGCAGTGGCTTATTCCTGTAATCCCATTACTTTGGGAAGCCAAGGAAGGAAGACCACTTGATGCCAGGAGTTTGAGACTAGCCTAGGGAACATAGACCCCATTACTATAAATTTTTTAAAAATCAATCAATATAATAAATCATATTAACAGAATGAAGGGGGGGAAAACTACATGATCATGTCATTAGGAAAAGCATTTGACAAACTTAATACCCTTTCATAATAAAAACACCCAACAAAATTAGGAATAAAAGGAAACTACCACTCCATAAGACCATTTATGAAAAGCCCATAGCTAACATCACACTTAATGATAAAAGACTGAAAGTAAAGCTTTACCACTAAGACCAGGAACAAGGCAAGGATGCCTACTCCTGCCCATTTCTACTCAACATAAACTGGAAGTCCTAGCCAGAGCAATTAGGTACGAAAAAGAAAAAAGGCATTCAAATTGTTAAGGAAGACAGAAAATGATCTCTATTCATAGATGATACGATTTTATATGTAGGAAACCTTAAAGATTCTACCAAAAAGGGTTAGAACAAACAAATTCAGCAAAATTGCAGGATACAAAATCAATCAACAAGAAAAAATCATTTACATTTCTATATACAACAATCAACGATCTGAAGAGGAAGTTAAGAAAACACCAACATTTACAACAGCATCAAAAAGTACAGAATACTTAAGAATAAACCTAACCAAGGAGGAAAAAGACTTGTACACTGAAAACCACAAAAGGTTACTGAAAGAAATT